CTGCCCTGGGGGGGCACAGAGGCCGTCTCTGCCCGGGGGAGCAGCCCCCTCCTGCTGCCCCGGGGGCCGTAGGCCCGCGGGGGGGTTCTGCAGCCTCCCCACGCAACCCGTGGGGCTGCAGTGCCGTGGCCCTTGGCAAGGGGCAGCTCATCCCGTGGGGGAGAGCCGGGCTGGGGACGGGGACAGCTTCGGCCGGACTGACCGAGGAAGGCCCTGGAAGGCTGTGAGCGTGTGCACGTGCCTGTGAGCGTGCACGTGTGTGCATGGTGCAGCGTCACTCTTCCCACGGCCCCACCGTCATCGTGCGCGCCAACACAGGATGCGAGGGTTTGGCATGGCAACGGTTGGGGAACGCTGGAGTGGGGCAGTGGGCAGACCCTGCAGCAGCACACAAAATCCTCACTGCCCACCACAGTGGGCACCCACCACCCCAGGGGCAGCCAGGGGCGCTTGACTCTGCCCCCCCACGGCTCCACTCTCTCCAGGCTCGGGTTTGGGTTTGCTTCCGTTCTCTTCTCCTCTGGGCTCAGGAAGGTAAGCGGGGAGCTGGGCTGGTTGCGGGGAGTTGGGAGTAAAATCCACGTGGGCTGCGTGGAGGCAGGGGAGGGGGGCGAGAGCCTGACCCCCTCCTCGCACAGTGGCTGCCAAGAGCATTGAGCCCGGCTGGCCGGTTGCGAGGAGCCACAGGCTCTTCCCAGCCTCCCAGGGACCGTGCCAGCGCCATACCCAGAGGGCTGGCAGAGGAAAATGTCACGTTAATAAGTATAGTGGGTGCTATCAGCGAGATGCCGGGTTAGATTGGCAGCATCAATCCACTGAGCCCTTGCTGCAAAGGGATCTCCCGCCGGCACAGGGGGCAGAGCTGCGGCTGCCCCTGGTCACCCCCCAGTGCTGTGCCCCACCACTGGCATGTGCCCATCCCGCCTGCCCTCGCCTGGGCTGTGCCGGGGAGGCTCAAATCCTGGAAACCTGCTCTCTATTTAAATAAGATGATAACATATATTAAAAACGCCAAATCTTGGCGAGCTGACAGTGTCTGTCTAAATGTTTATCCCAGTTCCAATCAGGCGCTGTGTTCCCATGACAGTGAGATTAGCACTTTGCATATTTATGGTCTTCCTGGGTGCTGGGCTCCCCGTGCCTGGGGGCCACTGAGCCCCCCCTCCCTCCCTGTCGTCCCCCCCCTGCACCTTCCCGTGCCCCCAGCAGAGGTGAGCCCCGGGCTGGCAGCCGTCCCTGCCGGGCTGCACTGGCACTGCCAGGAGCATCCAGGGCCAGGCAGGATGGAAATGCAGTGGGGACGGGGCAGGGCAGGGAGCAGATGCTGCAGTTTGTCCCCTGCAGCACAGGAGGTGCAGCGCCGAGCACCAGGCATGTTTTTCACTCAGGGACATGAGCACAGGGGACAGCGTGGGCACAACTTGCCCCCCAAAACCAGGATCCTGCCCTGCCTCCTGTGCCTGAGCACCAGGGGACCGGGTACCCGCAGGGACTGGGCAATGGGGATGGTGCAGGGATGCTCCAGCTCTCTCCTGCATGGTGCTGTCCTGCCCCACACCGTGGCCTGGCTGGAGCCTTGTGCTCTGGGGACAGCATGTCCAGGGGATCCTGGCCCCTGCGCCCACCCTGCGCCCCATCGCAGCGTGCGGGAGGAGCACGTCGGGAGGGATTAGGGCTGTGTCTAGAAAAAGGGCTAATTCAGAGCTGGAGGCGCGGGGCAGCCCAGCACAGCTCTCCCCTGCTGCCACTGCTCTGGCAACGCAGGACAAAACCCTCCCAATCAGCTGAGCCGCTTGTGTGCTGGCAGCAGCAGCCAAAATCTGCTTTTCAGTTCCCAGATCTGGCAACGCTGAATTTAACCCTAAACTTTGGCGCATTTGGGTGGCGACTCACCGTAAAGGCCTGGTGCCAGCTGCCCCGGCGCTCGCAGTGGCTGCTGGGCTGCGAGGCTGGGGGTGTTGATGCGCTGCCCCATCCCTGCTTCGCCGCACATGCCAGAATTGGCAAAAAAGGAGAAAAAAGGGGAGAAATTATGCTAATGCTTGTCGCATGCAGCTTCCAGGAGGATTCATGCTGCCTCCTGGCTGTTGCGCCATGGGGGACACAGGAGAGGTGCTGCCCACAGTAGGGTGGTTCTGGGCCCTGAGGGTGGGAGCAGGCGTCACCACGTGCCCCTTGTCACCTGGGAGCTGTGCTGCAGGCAAGGAGGAGCCTTGAGGGGCTGCAGGAGTGGGGGACATGGGGTGCACTTGATGTTCCCCCCCACAGCACTTTCCCAGGGAGGCACGCTGGGGCTGCAGAGGCCAGTGGCTCCCTGGGGCTCGCGGGACCAGTGCCCCCTATCACGGCTGTGCCCCCCGTGTGCTGTGCTCACCGGGGTCAGGCCTGGCTGAGCATCTCCTGCTGCAGCTGTGGTGCTGGCTGCATGGGCACTGCTTTGGGCCTTGGTGCTGGGGCTGGTCGGGTGCCAGCAGGTGCAAACCCCTGCACAATCCCTTGGGCAGTGACCCTGGGGGGCTGGGGAAGGGGCTCCTGCTGCCTTCTGCCCTGTGGAGACTGCTTTTGGTTTGGGCTCGCTTTCATCTAAATTGATAGATCCCCATCTCAGGAGTTCTCAAAATTGGTTTAGGGAAAAAAAAAAAAAAAAAAAGACTTCAAATGAATTTTATTAATCTTAATGGTGACAACTCTTTGAGACAAGCTCATCCCTGCACCCCGCATGGCCTGTCTTACATGTCCCATGAGGGATCAGACATCGGTTTAACCAGACCAGCCTCCCCCTGCACGGTGCAGCATCTGGCAGCCCCCAGCAGCACGGGCCATCCCGCCCTGGTCCCGCTCCCCCTCCATGGGGGAAGTGGCAGCTCCTCTCACCAGGCTCTGATCCCCAGTGGCTGGACCCTGCTGGGCTCCAGCCCCACTCCAAACAACATCATTTTCCAGTGGGTGAAGCAGCTCGTGCCCCTTCCCCTCCAAGGTGCTGGATGGGATTCGCCTCCCCAGGCAGATGCAGGTGCCGGAGTGACTGTGCCGACGCCCGTGCCCAGAGCAGCCCAGTGCCAGCCTGTGCCCGGGCAGTCCCCAATCTCCTCTCCTCCATCTGCAGGGGTGTTGCCTCCCGTGCCTGGCCAGCCCCAGCTGCACCATGCCTGCCCCATAATGCCACCCCACCCAGCCAACTGGTGACACAGCCCTCACCTCGAGGTGACGCGGCAGCTGGAGGGGACCCACTGGTGGAGACCTGCCCTGCAGGCACTGCCCTGTTTGCTCCTGCGCTGGCAGAGCCCAAGGAGGCTGCGCCCTTGCAGGCAGAGGCAAAGGCAGGCCTGGCCGCCAGCCTCAGGGCTGGGGCACATGAGGTAGGAGGGACACAAGGTACCTCTGTGCATGTCCCCTCCTGGGACCAGGGTGGAGGGAGGGGTCTCCCCCATGTCCCCTTTCCCTGGGTCCTGTGCTGCCTGGGTCAGGGGAGCAGGGCATGGTTTGTGAGGCTGCATGGGGTCACCTGTGCTCGGGGTCCCTTGGGGTGCCGCCGTGTGGCCGGAGCCCCCTGTGTGTGCCCCGCAGAGATGGCCTTCCAGCGGAGCTACCGGCTGAACCTGCTGCGCCTCATTGTGCTGCTCCTCGTGGCCTTGGCTGGCATCAAGTTCCTCTTCCGTGACAGGTGAGGTGACAGTGGGATCCCGGGCGTGCGTGGGGACTTCGGCGGGGTCAGTGGGGACCCCCTGGGTTGTGCCCGCACGGGGGCCTGTGGCTGGGGGGCAGCTGGTGCCCCTGTGCCCCACAGCACCCCCAGCCCTGCTCCGCTCCTTGCAGCTTCACCCTGGAGCTGCACAAGCACGTCAGCAAGGACAGTGGGTTCTGGGGGGACACGGGTGATGCTGGCCAGGATGCCGGCCCCCAGAGCCAGGCTCTCGAGCTCTCCGTGGCAAAGATAACAGCCCCGAGGCAAGAGCCTGGGCAGCAGGTCCCCAGGGACATCAGTGCCACCGAGATGAGGCTGGTCCACCTGGACCTCAAGGGAGCTGCGCCCAAGGTCTCCTACCTGGAGCAGGTGAGGATGCCTGGGGTCTGGCGGGAGGTGCTGAGGGGGCAGAGGCAGAGGAAGGCCCGACCTGACGGCTGTCCCCACTGTTCCCCTGGGACTCCGCCATCCCCTCCGGCTGAGCCCGCCCTGTCTGCCTCGCAGGTGTTCCCCCTCCTGTCTCAGCTGGGAGCCACTGGTGTCCTCATCGAGTACGAGGACATGTTCCCCTTCAAGGGGGAGCTGGAAATCCTCAAGTCCCCATACGCTTACAGGTGAGCCGGGGCTGTGTGCCGAGTTGGCCAGGGGGCTGCCAGCTTTGGTGCAGCCCCGGCAGGTCCCGGTGTGCCAGGGGCTGGGTGTGACCCGCCTGGACTCATGCCTGCAATAACTGTGGTCAGTGCCGGGCTGTGCCACCGGCAGACCAGCTTCCAGCCCCACCGGGGCAATATTTGCGTCTCCATAGTAAAGTGCACACAGGCGTGGGGTGGGTGGGGCTACACGGGCAGTGTGCCGGAGGAGGAGGAGGGAATGCCTTCAAGCTCTGCCCCGGCATCCCCTGGTGAGCCTGTCCCTGCCCTCCCAGCGAGGAGGACATCGAGCAGATCCAGCAGCTGGCGGAGCTCCACAAGCTGGAGGTGGTTCCCCTGGTGCAGACCTTTGGACACGTGGAGGTAGGGGGGTCCTGGGTCCCGCTCTTCATCCCCCGTCCCTTTGGCCCATGGACTAAACCCCCCCCTGACAGCTCCTTCCGCACAGTTCATTCTCAAGCACGAGAAGTACCAGCACCTGCGGGAGGTCGAGCGCTTCCCCAACAGCTTCAACCCCCACATCCCCGACACCCTGGCCCTGCTCAAGAGCATCTTGTCACAGGTGATCGAGAAGCACAGGCGCTCTACCTGGATCCACATCGGCGCGGATGAGGTGGGCAATGGGCCACGCAGGGGCTCCAGCCCTCACCCCGGGCGCCAGGCGTGCTCCCAGGGGTGCTGAGCATTCCCCTTCCTCCCTAAATCCAGGTCTTCCACCTCGGGGAGGGGATGGACTCCAAGAACTGGATGAGCCGCAACAAGGGCGACACAGGGACCATGTACTTGAAGCACATCAAGGAGGTGCTGGGCTTCATCGCCACGCAGTACTGGGGCCTGCGGGCGCTCATGTGGGACGACATGCTGAGGAAGATCAGTGTGGGAGCCCTGCAGGGTGAGAGGACGGGGACAGCAACAGTGGCACCCGAGCCGGGGGTCTCGGCAGGGCCGGTCCGTGTGGCCGCCCTGGCAGGTGTCGTGCCCAGTGCCTGGCCCTGTGGGGACACGGGTCTCTGGGGAGCATGAGGAGCCCCAGGCATCCTCTTGCTGCTGGCACGGGTGCCCATGTCCCCATCCCTGCTCCCCGCTCAGAGTCTGGGATAGCGAAGCACGTCTCGCCCGTGGTGTGGTTCTACGCGCCCGACTTCGAGGCTGAGCAGATTGGTAAGGCAGCGTGCCGGGCTCCTGGGGCTGGCGGGGGGCACACTCCCCCACCGAGCCCTCCCCCAGCCCCCTGGGTACAGTGGCACTGGTGGCTCGTGCCTGCCCCGCCGCAGAGCCGTTCCTTGCCAAGTACATGGAGAGCGGCTTCGAGGCGGTGTGGTTCGCCAGCGCCTTCAAGGGCACCACAGGACCGGCGCAGACGTGGCCCCCCCTGAGCTACCACCTGAAGAACCACCTGAGCTGGCTGAAGGTGATACAGGCCCTGCCGCGGCTGGCCCCGCTGCGCTTCCAGGGCATTGTCCTCACCGGCTGGCAGAGGGGAGGGGCGGGGGGGGCCCCCCCCCCCCCCTGCCGGCCCCCGCCCAGCCGTTGCGAGTGGGCTCGTCCCCCGTCTCCCCACCCTGCAGGCAGCCACTGCCTGCGAGCCCCCGTCCTGCAGGCAGGGAAGGACACCAGGAGTGGGGTGGGAGGCAGGGGAAGGAGAGCTTCATGTCCCCCAGTTTTGGGGGAGTGGTGAAGCCGGGGGGCCAGTGCCTGACGGCGGGGTGGCCTGGGACCCTCTGCCCCTCTCCTCACCCTCCCCAGGGGGCTTCACGGAAGAGACGAAGAGGAAGGTCCTGGACACGCTGGGCTTCCAGAGCATGCAGCTGGAGCAGAGCACGTGGTGCGTGGCACAGCCCAGCCATGGCGGGGGGCGGCTGTGGCACTGCCACCCTGGTCCTGTCACAAGGGATGCGCTGGAGGGGAGCAGGGGGGTTGGTTACCCAAATGCCCCATCCCAGACCTGCCTGGGGTGAGGGCGGGTGCCCTCCAGCCATGCAGGGTGCTGAGGTTCACCCGGCCTGGAGCCCCAGTGCGCCCCACATGTTGGGCTCTCACCTCCTCCTCCTCCTTTTCCCCAGCGAGGGCAGGGGAGCGTTCCCCGGCGCGGAGATCTACCACATGGTCGAGCAGGTTAATGGCCACCTGAAGGAGAGTATCCTTAAAGCCCTGGAGGAGGAGAGGTAACGGGTGGTGGGTGGCAGCGGGGTCGGCTGGCTCTGGCCATGGGGCCGGAGCGCAAGAGCTTTGGCAGGGGAGGGGACCTGCCCAGCGTGCAGCTCCCCCGTCCCTGGGTGGCCCCCATGCTCCCCACTCCCCTCGTGCCTCCCCAGTGCCATCAAGGGCTGGTTCAGCCCCTATCATCGGAAGCGCCAGTTCGGCAACCCCCGCAACATGGAGAGCTTCGGCAGCAAGGTGCTGAAGTACGTGGTGCTGGGGGCCTGGAGCCCCCAGGGGTGCCTGCACAGGGCTGGAAGGGGTCCTGGGCTTGGCTCTGGGGTCCTTCACAGGAGGGAGCTGGATCACCCCGCTCTCCCCCTGCCAGGCTCCATGAGGACTGGGAGAGCTTTGTCCGTGACCTGCACGCCCACCTGGAGAGGGTCTACTTCCCTGACACAGTGGAGGAGTGGATGGAGGAGAATGTCAACCCCTACCTGGACCAGCTGCGGGACCTGGTGCGGGACTACCGGGCCATCATCCGCCTCAATGCCAGACCCAAAGTGACATAGGGGCTGCAGCCCCCCCTGGTTCCCATTGCCCCCCTACGGTAGGCTTCAGGTGCCGCCGTCGCGTGCCGTGCCTGCGTGCTGGTGACTGCATCGCTGCTGCTGGTTTGTACTGTACAGAGAGCTCCCGCGCAACCCACTTCCACAATAAACTATTTTTGTAGATGCTGCTGGGTGCTGGAGGGGGGGACGGGGCTCTGCCCCCCTGTGCAGGCCAGGGGGAGCTGGGGCTGGGGTCTGTCCTGCAGACGGCTCCTGGGCCCATTGCTCCTGCTCTGCTGGAGGTGGAGGGTTCTCAGCCACAGGGCAGAGCCGTGATGGGGGGCAGGGAGAGGGACGCCCGTGTGCCTCATGCTGGCCTCGAGGGCAGCCGTGCCATCCCTGCAGGATGGGACCCAGCCCAGCGCAGGTGCCGGATGCTGCACGCCACCTGGTGAGGGCTGGCACCCAGGATGGGGCAGTGCCTGGGCGTGTGTGTGTGGGGGGGGGGCTGCCAGGCTCCCACCAGCACCCGCTCCCCAACCCCATGGCTGCTTTTGGCAGCAGCTGCCACTGCACGCCCCTGATCGCTGGGAGGGGGCTGAGCACCGTGCTTGCTCCCCACGCCGAGCCAAGCCATCCTCCAAACGCCGCTTTCATCTCTTCCTTCCTCTCCTTTAATCCAGCGCCTGGGGCTCCACGTGCTCCCAGGCCCATCCTGCCTCCCACACCCGGGCAGGGGCCTCTGCTGCGCTCCTCGCCTGCAGCCATCGGAAAGGCAGCCCTGGCGGGGGGATGCGGGGGGACCCCTGCACAGGGCGAGCCCTCCCACTGCCTCTGGCTCCTGCAAGCGAGCGCTTCCACGTGCCTGCTCCTCCATGGTGCCCATCCCTGCAGTGAGGGGAGGCAAAGCCAAATCCCCCTCTCCCCATGCCCACAGCTCTCCTGGTTCAAGTCACTGGTTTTGGCTCAGCGTGCGGAGGGCAGCAACACGGACATTTCACTGCACATTCTTCTGCTCTGCAAAGACCAACCCGACTTGGCAAGAGCCCGGAGGGAACCACAGAAATGCAAGGCAGGCTGGAGCTCCTTCTGCAAAAGCCTGGCTCAGCCAGGGGAGAGGGCTGGCAGCTCTGTGCCCCATGCAGCGCCACGCAGCCCTGCTCCCTATGTCCTGCCTCGGTCACAAAGGTCCTGGTGCCAGGCGAGGCTATCAGGGCAGGGATGCCCCATCCCGTGTCTCTGCTGGGTCCTCGGGTGCTGGCACTGGGCGCAGGAGCCCAGCAGGAGAGAGCTGTGGGGCACAAAGGGACCTTTGTTGAGGAGCTTCGTTTGTTATCAAGTGATGGCAGATGCAAGGGAAGCCCCTGGACCTGCCTGGGCCCCCGGGCATGTGCAGAGCCCCAGCCCCCAGCCCAGGGAGCCCCGCAGCAGCTCAAGACCCCATGCAGCCGCACACCACCAGGCTGTGGGATTAGAGGGCAGATTAGACCGCGTTTCGCGCCGGCAACCCAAATATCCTGGATTGGAAAGTGGGGGTGGGGAGAGGAGATGGACCCCGCTGTCCCTGAGGGGGGGTCAGCCTGGAGCTGGGGGCTGCGGGAGGGAGTCAGGGGCTGCGAAGGGCTCCAGCTCAGGGGGCATGGGCGTCCTCAGGGAGGAGGCTGGTTCATGTTTTGTCTAGGGGTTGCTGAGT